TGCTGGCACAACTGGAAACTTTTAAAGTCAAGATTGCATCTACAGTAAAGGACAGTCACGTTTTACGAGGCAGGTGATTGGAATTTCTTTGAAAATTTCTACAAATACCTCTTGTAACGGAGGCAATATTTGGTTATGAGTAAAATGTGGATGATGTGGAATCCTTGCCATAGTTGACATTATTAGTAACATTTATAACCAGTATATGTTTTGATTTCTTACTCTCTTTCAATCCTTACTTTTTCTTTCAGTTATTTGTATGTAAATATTTTTATTTTAACCTGTAAGTTGTTATTTACAGGTGCAGATGATAAAAAAAGCTAATACTTTGCTAGAGGTATAAATTATGTTTACTCTTTCTCAGCTGACAGTTTAAAAAGTTGGGTTTTTTTTTCTTTTTTTCAATGTTTGCTGTGTTTATCGAATTTGGAGAGGATTGGCAGAAAGCAGTGAGAGGCCTAGTCCCGAGAGCGGCCGAGGCGCAGGAAATAAGGGGTTGACTTTTCTTAATGAGAATTCAACACATCCCGTTCTTTTAAAGAACGGGGCGGTAGGAGGAGTGCTGGTGAACCGAAATTTCTGAAGAATGATTTCACAATAGCGTGTTCTTAGTTGCTGGGCATGATAAACATCTATAATTGAAAAATAAATTGTGTGCTGATTATCTATACGATTAAACACGCATTGCTTATTCCGTCTGGAGATTCTACTGTGCTTTGGAACATTTAAACCAAATCGAAGGAGGACGATAAAAGAAACAGTTGAAGATATATACCAAAGGGTTAATGAGGTTCTAATATATGATTTGTATGCTGAAAGTAGTGCAAAATTTCTGGACTAATTTTGTAAGGTAGGCGATATTTTGCAAAGTAATGGTATCTTTGTAAGAAAATATTCTATTGAAAACAGGTAGATGGTTGGTATATTTTGTAGCTAAATTGTGATCTTTACAAATTCTGAAATTGAGTTTATATACATATTTTGACAGTTTATATATTTCATTTTAGTAAACAAATGAAATATTTTGTGAACCAGATTTTCAAGCATATATTTTTATGGATAGTACACAGTCAAATTAGATCCTCTTTGGTGTAGGAGATATTTGAATTAATTTTGTATGTCTGTAGGCAACTTGCAAAAAAAAAAGGATCCTAAAGTGTATTGGGAAAAAAAAGAAAAAAAGAAAAAAAAAAAAAAGATCAGGGCTTTTTGTCCCCCACAGTTGACATTATCTGCACATTAGATCCAATTGCTATCAGAGATTCTAGTTTGTATGATTTGAATTTGTTTCAGGTGAAAATCAAATGTTTGACATATCAGGACTCTTTTGGGTGCGGAGTCTCCATCCTTGGAGCCACTCCAAAGCTGTGCGGACGCGGTCCTGGGCAGGCAGCTCCAAGTGGCCCCGCGGGTGCAGGGCACGGACAAGGTGACCCTCACAGGTCCCGTCCAGCCTCCGCCGTTCTGTGGTTCTGTGATTCTGTGAAATAAAGAAATGTGTATGCAGTGCTTCTTGCATGAATAATAAATACACTATTTTCCATAGTTAGGATTGAATCCTGCTTCCAGTTATGTCAGCGGGAATTGCACTATGGACTATGCTGTTAAAAAGGTGTTAGAGCTACGTGTGTGTGTTGTGCTAGCTCCGATCAGAATGAAATTAAAAGATGTACTCACTCCCTAGACGTGTAATGCTTATCATATGGTCAGTCAGTATTTTTCATTTTACTCATTTTTTAATTAATGGACTTCTTAGCAAGCAGAGCTCTTTGCATATTGTATGAGACAGACTGCATTCCACAATCACATTGTTAGTGGGCTATAAAAATATTTTTTTTCCAAAGTTTCTAAATATATGATGGTTATGGAGATGATCCACAATACATTTCCTTTAGGCCAAACTGGAGTATAAATTTGTGCTCATGATCATGTCAATAAAAGAGTGCTTTTTTTGCACATCAAAAATAATAAGCAAAGGTTGAGAAAGCCATTACGGTAGGGAACTGCTCCAGGAGAGGTGGTTGGTGCCTCCTGTATCTGTTAGTGGAATTCCAGGAAGAGTGAACACCTCAGAGCGTGCTGAGCACCTCACAGAACCCGACCTTTTCGCTCTGTCCCCCATCAAGAGTGTGTCCGCTCCGTGGCAGATGTTCAGAAGGGTTTGACCTACAGTACTGAAACTCACTTGGTGACTCCTCTGTACGGTATTTTGATCCTCACTGTGTGCTGTTGTTCCTTTACCTTTTCTGTAATACGGAATAATAATAAAAAAAAGCTATCAAGTGTTAAGACTGTAAAGAAAAAAAAAAAAAACCACCAAAAAAACAAGAGTGGCCAATTCTTTCTGTATTCAGCAAGTGAAACAAATGTAGTGCTGCCAGACATAAGGATAGTAAATTTTTATCCTCTTAAAGTAGTGTTTTGGAAAAAGCAGCCCATTTTTCATCATTGAAATATTAAACAGTAACATGAGTTTGCTCTTTTAAGTAATCACTTATCATGAAGTACTTATTTTGGATTTACTTCAAAATCTAGATTGTAAGAGAATAAAATCTATATCCAGAGAGTAGGAGATATCGTACCTAATACTGTTCTGCTGGCTATTTCCAAACAAAAGTACCTGCTTTATATGAATTGTAAATATTTGTCGAAACAATTAGATGGTTGCAAATTTTGACCTTGGTAAATAAAGTCGCCAAAATATAATTCTGATGTTCCTTATTTATTTTTAATTAACATAGAACTGCAGTGGTTCTGACCAAACATGCACCTGTTGTGTGGTATCGGATCTTCTACAGTGGCCAAGAATAAATGTTTAGTCTATGAAGCAGCACCCAGAGATCTTTTATCTGATGTGTCCTTTCAGCAGGCAGGGTGCTAAGTTATCTGGGCATAAAATTTAGTCATCACTAAAAATAATTAGTGGAGAATAGCTTTTGTCTTTCCGCATGTTTTTTTTCCCATTTTAGTTTTCAATAAGCTGAGCCACTGTTAACCAAAACCATTTTGTGCTCTGCTGGTATTCCCCCGGCAGAGGGAGTATCTGCCATCTACAAAATCGTGGGAGTATTGCTGAGTAGCTGTTCAGCTTCTGATAGCTGGGGAAGCATAGAATAGGGTAGGAGAAAAGTATTTTCGATTAGTATTCAATGTCATTATTAGGGTCAAGGCTGTAATCAAGGCATGGATATCAAAGGCAGGAAACAAAAAAGATAATACAATTGCAAACAGGACTTCTGAAAAATAAGTGCATTTGGCTCTTGGATTTATTCTGAAACAGGAGTTAGCTCTCTTTCCAAACTTTTAACAGGCAGACCAAACCTCTGTGACAATGATGCGATGGTTTGTCCCTTTAGAAAGTCTACGCAAGTACCATACGCATCACCGTCAGAGAGACAGTAAGTGTAATGCTCACGGGACTCTGGGCCTTGCTGCTTAGCAGAAGTTCGGAGGTTATCCACGTTCTGTATTGCGACAAACGGACGTAGATCCCAGGAAATGCTGGTCGGCCACAGCCAAGTCCGAAGCTAGAAATCCCTACGAGATAGTATTTGTTGGTACCAGAGTGATAGCACGCTAAAGGGCCACCGCTGTCTCCCTGGAAATAAACAATATAAAAAACTAGTAATATATATGCCCTTCCAGGAAACAATGTAGAATTAAGTCAGTAATGTGTCCATGTATTTCTTCACTGGTTTTAGTCAGCTAAGTTAACTGGACAGTAATGACAGTAATACATGGCTAGTAGTACACAGAGAAATTAAGATAAAATTGGGTGATGCTGAGTGATCCTACTGTGACTCGAGTACTGTGACTCGAGTACCGTGCCTACATTAGTTTCAGTGTCTTTAACTGAGGGTCTGCTGTGTTTTTCTCCATGCACCCTTTCATTCCGAGGCATGTCTCACTCGTCAGTCAATATGAGAATATATCGTCCACACAATGTGTAAGTACCAAGAACACGGTAGTGAACGCACAACCCTGAATCTTTGCTACATCACCTGGAAGGAAAATGCTGCACAAAGCAGGAAGTGTCAGACAAAGTACTTACAAATATGTTACGGTTTTTAATTATAAATGTCTCTATATCACAACTGGTGCCCCGGGTTTTGCATACTAGTGCTTTTGACCTGAGAATTGTCCTTTCTGTGAAAGAGATGCTGATTGCTCAACACTGAAATAAAAATCTGGCCATGTCACTGAACTGTATCACTTTCCAGTGCCGCTGCTGGTCTTTCAAAAGCAGAAAAGCAGGCGAGATGTTTGTGTGCTTCACACCCACCACATGCGTACAGTGATACCTGTGTGGATCCATAAGTAACTTTGTGTAATACATAATTTGCTGACGTCTTTGTGGCAAGTGGTGTATAAATACATTTGTGTTCTTCACCCTTTCACTTGGTTATCTTACTCGTGTCTTTTTCCAAGTATCGCTGAATTCTTTGTGTATGTTTTTGAGATGCGTTTTTTCTTTGGAATCATCATCTCACATCTCTTTCTATTTATGAGGCTTCTTTTGCAGTAGGACATGTTTTCTGCTGAGTGTTTGTGCCATTTTAACTAATTATTCTACAACTGCTGGTCATCACAGTCCCCCTGAGCTGCTGGCTTGGGGGTTTCCCTAGTGGCTGGTGGGGAACAGTCCCTGTTCTTACCTGGCAGGTATCGATGCCTCCGGACCAAGAGCCAGCACAAATCATGTTCTGGCTCACCAGACCTCCATATGCGCTCGAGCTGTTACACATACTGGAAGGAATGATTTCCACTTGAGCTTCTCTTAACACAGCTGAGATTTTACCTTTAATGGGAGACAGCATATAGAAAGGTAAAAATTTTTATGCTGTTGTGTGTAGCAATCCTTAACGTGCTCTTTTTTTTTCCTCTTTAGCATGTTTCTGTTCGTGTATGAACATATATGTAATACAGAGATTGTGCCTTCTTCTAATGGATTTAAACTTAAGTGGCTTAAGGATTTGCAGACTCGTATTTGATGTAGGTTTTGTAATTCTTATTCTGAAGAAACACTGATGGTAACAATACTGCTCACAGGTCTCGCTCAGAATGTCAGCGGTGACTTATCGAACAAACCTGCGTGATCCCCAGCCACCCTTGAAATTTCCACACCAGGAGGACGCACCCACCAACTGACAGCAAGTCTGTGCTCGTTGTGGTTAAAGGGAGAATTTGAGGGAGTGCGGCCATTTGTAGAATACATTGGGACCCCCAGGCATCAGAATTGTTGTTTTTCAATAAAAAAGCCATTTCTAGCAGACAACATTGAGTAGCTGTACCATGAATCTGAAAAGCCAGGCTGGTTTATTTTCTTTTTTTCACGTTACATGTGGAAGAAAGGCTAGAAAAGTTATGCCTTTGTGTAGATCTAACCTGCTTGCAATGGAAAAAACACTGCGAGTAGATACTCAGTTGCAGAAGGATTGAAGACGTCGTGCGATGAGACTGTAACCTGAACAAATTCAGTTCTCTCGCAGTGAGCTGGAAGGACCGGAACCCGACATTAGTTACGTAGCTTGTAACTAGATCAGCAACGCAAGCAAAGGTTTACCTTGTTCTGCGGTGCGTCCCCAGCCACTGATGAAGCATTCCGTTTCGTTCTCGAGGTGGTGAGGGGGAAGCTCTGCGGGAGGTAGGCAGATGGGCTGGATGTAGTCACTGTAGCGGACTGCGGAACCAAGTTCAAACAATGCAATATCATTTTCAAACGTTTCTCTCTTGAATTTGGGGTGCACAGTGATGCTTCTGATCTTTCTTTTTGCTGTGTGTTTGCCATGTTTCCAAAGGTTATGCACCCCCAAAACAGCTCTCCAGGAATATGGGTCCCTAAGAGAGAATTCACGTATTTTTTACAATTATGTTGCAGTAAAAACATTTCTTTATGGCATTGTTTTAACCGATTGTTTTACTGTTGGCTTATGCACCTTTAGGAATATACATTGAAAATTCTGCAGTGAATATTTTCTGGAACAAATCTGTCTAATTACCATTCTGTCTGTTTTGCACACTCGGTTTGCCTAATGCTGGTTTAAGGCAAATTCAGATTAATGATTTAAGCTGATACTCAGATTTTGCTTCCCACCCCATCTCAGCAGAGGCCACCCAGAAGATATTCTTTTGAAGAATATAAAAACATGGATTTATTTTGCAGAAATGAGGTAGGCTTATAAAGACCATGCTTGTACCCAACTTTGAGAAATCCATTAACTAAAAGTTACAAATAGTGAATATCAACTTAATAGTAAATTTGGAAATAGGGCCAGAGTCATTCAGACCTGATTTCTGTTCAAGTATGTTGGAAAAAAGTCTTCACTGATATTAAGTGGGAATTGAATTTGGCCTGTGATGTGCAAAGGGCAGGGTGTAAAATTCAGATTAACCTCCAAAATTCTCCAGGGGGTACGATAAAAATTAAATTTGATTATTTGCAATATAATGCCTCTCTAAATAAATGTTTGTAAAAGTGCCTTTAAAGAAACGAGGAGCTGATCTAACAAAGTCCTGATACATGATAAAATTCCGAAGTTCAGAGATTTTTACAATTCAATTTCCCTCAGGTCATGGTTATGTCAACACAGTCAATATGAACCTGCATGAACTCCTGTGCAGATTTTGCAACTATGCTAAAGGCTAAAAGAAAGACAGGAGCGATGACAAAGCTGAAATGCAGCAGAGTGGCTGTAAGTGCGATGAAAAGGCCTGTTCGAAGGGGTGGTATTACCACATTGTTAAAAAAAAAAAAAAGTAGTTAAGGGCAAATTGTTGGTTCTGTTAAACAGGTAAAATGGAAATAGTGTTACAACTAATGAATTGTACTGTTTCTAATTTAAATATTGCAACATTCCTTTTTTGCAGTGAGCTTTACTGGTTTAGAAAAATGTATTAATAAGAAAAATTAGAGCTCCATAAAAAAAAAAGCCCCCAACCTAACAAAAAATGTCACCTAGATCAAAACCAAATGCCCCTTCATTAAAAATAAAAATGGTTGGTCTGGGCCAAGCCAGAAGGACATATTCAAGGCTTCTTGATGCTGCCTTAGAAAGATGCAACTTTGCATCCCATGCTGGGCTGGCAGCTGTCACCACATACACACACTACAGCAAAGGTGACAAAGGGGACAGTCAGCCTTTGGTCCTCAGAGCCACGACTGGTCCTGGGTACGGGCCCTGTCAGTAAACAGGGGTGGCATAGCTGGGTCTGCACAGTGGTTCTGCACGAGGAGAGCTCAGTCTGGAGCCCAGGAGAGACACGGAGCTGTTGGAGCGGGGCCAGAGGAGGGCACGGAGATGCTGGGAGGGCTGGAGCCCCTCTGCTGGGAGGACAGGCTGGGAGAGTTGGGGGGGTTCAGCCTGGGGAAGAGAAGGCGAAAAAGGGGAGAGCTCAGAGCCCCTTCCAGTGCCTAAAGGGGCTCCAGGAGAGCTGGGGAGGGACTCTGGATCAGGGAGGGGAGCCGTGGGATGAGGGGAACAGTTTTACACTGAAAGAGCGGAGACTGAGACGAGATATTAGGAAGAAATTGTTGGGTGTGAGGGTGGTGAGCCCCTGGGGCAGGTTGCCCCGAGAAGCTGTGGCTGCCCCATCCCTGGAGGTGTCCAAGGCCAAGTTGGACGGGGCTTGGAGCAACCTGGGCTGGGGGGAGGTGTCCCTGCCCAGGACAGGGGAGTTGGAACTGGATGATCTTTAAGGTCCCTTCCAACCTAAACCATTCTATGATTCTAGTTCCAATTCCCACCCCAATGAAGGCCGTTTTCACACCCTCGCTACAGCATCTCCCAAAACCGAGGCAGCCTTTCCTTTGCTGAGCACAGACGTATTTTCTTCTTAAGATATAACTTCTTGGTACTCCCTGTGGGGTTCTGGAGACTGACGGACCCCGGCCAGGCACCTATCCCCGCGGCGTGTCCCCCCACGATGCGGGAGCCCGAGAGGACGTCCCAGAGAGGCCGCTCCCCGCACCCTGCCGAACACAACAGGCCCTTAAACCCCTCAAACTGGAAAACACGGCCTTTGGGGCACCGCCAGCATTTTGGGTGTTGGGTTGTTTGTGTTTAACTCCACAGTGTTACTTGCTGTGGGATTCCTGATGTTTGCAGCTGAAGCCCGGCTTCTCGTTGTTTCCTTAGGTGTGTATTTCACCTGGTTACAGGCGTATTTCCTGCAGACAGATTTACTGTGTACATTGAGGCTGAGCCGGCTCCAGTCACTTTGTGAATTCATCCGATTTCGGTGCAGATGAAGTTTTCCGTGCGTCCGTGGGGAGCTGGGCCGCC